AAGATCCATAGAGTCTATCGGGATCTGTTTTTCACCCTTGCATTTGGCGCAGTAATTCATGAACTTTATAATACATATTTTTTTTATTTTAGAGACGAACACATTTTCTAGACTGTATTTTTTTGTACTGTCGCGGCAGTGATGCGGCGGCGGCGCGGCAGCGGCAGATTTTTTTTCCAGTACGCCGCGGCGCGGCAGCGGCGCGTTACATTTCAATGTAGACGCGGCGCGGCAGCGGTGCGGTAGCTTTCGTTTTTCTGACAAACGCGGCGCGGTAGCGGCGCGGCACCATGTTTTTTAAACGACGGCGGTGCGGCAGCGGCTAATTCTCAGCCGCGATGGACATCTCTGCTTTCTTGTAACTATAAATACAACTTTTTACTTTCCTCATACAGTTAGTTTTTTTGGACGGTGAACTATATCGAACTGTAACAAGTGAATAACAAAACTTTTCAACTGTTCAGAATGAAAAACGGAAAAAGCTACTTATAAATAGAGGAGAAGAGTGATCGCCAAAAATAACAAAGAGTAATCTAAGTGAATGATTTTCTGTGAAAATCACAAGATTTTCCTCGAATAAATTTGTTTTTTGTGTTTTAGATTTTCCTAATTAATCCATTTGTTGTGTCCTTGAATATGTCTGAAAGTGAAAGTAATCCAAATCAAGAAAAAAAACGAAAACAACAACAACAACAGCAACCATCAACATCTTCGTCAACAATCGACAAAACTGGTAAATATATTTCTCTTGTCAACTGTTAATTTACCTCAAATATTTGTATCATTCGTTTTTGCTATTTTGAATTACGCCAATTTTCATTTAAATCAATGGAAATTAAGACGTACTCTGTGTCGAAATTGTATTTTCTTTAAAAATTCTCGGAACTATTATCCAAAATTTCCAAGAGAAAACGGCAGACTTGAAGTACATCAAATTACTTTAAAATTATATGAGAGTACTTTGAAAAACACTTTAAAATTACAGAAAAGTACTTAAAGTAGCTCGAAGTGCGTTTAAGTAGTGTAAATTATCTTCAAGTACAAATTTTGCCATTTTCCCCTTGAAAATTTCACTCATTTTTGCATGTTTTCACAATGATTATTCTTTTGAAACGCTTTCATCGAAAAGTTGCTTCTAAAAATTTAAAATAGTAATTTTTCTACATAACCTGACGAGAGCTCTATCGAACTAGACAGAAAAGAGATTTTATTGAAGAATCTGCTCATCTTCTGAATTTCTGTCACCTTAATTAGCTTCAAATATAAATCATTTAGTTTTATATTTGTTTAGAAAGTACAAGTGAAGCTCATGTTGTTTCATTACCAAAAAAAATTCGATTATATGATGCACAAACTGGAGTACCTGTCGGTATATATTTAGAAAATGATAATACATTAAACTTAAAAAATGTCCAATTGATTTATCCAACTGCTACCACCGTTAAATGCTTTTTTCCAGGTCAAACTGATCCAGATCTGTATGTGTATCTATTTAATTAAAATTTGTAATGCATCCATAATGGATGATGCAAAAGTTCTACATTAGTGTTATTTTCGATATAGCGTTGTGATGAAATATCGTAAAGACTTCATTTTTTTGTTAGAAAGAGCAAAGTGTCTAGTGCAAAAAACCATGTAACAGAATTTCGTTGGAAATGTTTTTCGAAAGTCACAAAAATCTTAGTGCAAAAGGCGTCGGAAAGGTCTTCCTCAACTTTTTTGAACTTAGAGAAAATGTATATACTTAGACAGGATAAGTTTTTACCCGTCTAATTCAAGTTTTATAATGTAAGGATACAGCACTATTGATATACAAACCAAAAAGAAATTTTCTACGTTTTATAACGATCGAAATGAACTCTCTTATGGTATCGTCTGGTATCACCGACTTTTCATCATTGTCGATAGAAGAACTCTACGGTAGGAACGAACTATATTCAAAACTGGCGAGGCGAGATGGGACTGAATAGCCGCAGAGTGCGGAACGGGACGACTTTTTCACTGTTCTGCGGAGCTCTGGTCGATAGCGATCCGAAAAAAAAATTCTATTCTGAGAAAAAGATTGCCAGAGCCTATATATTTTATATGGAAAAGAAAGCTTATTGAGTTTTCTACTAAACGATATTGTTTTGAATAGGATTCACTTTTTCTGTGAAATATTCAGACAAAAATTTATTTTCGCATTGTAAACATCAAATTGAACAAGTTGAGTTTTTTAATCAAATTGTCTGCTGTTGATTCTCTTGTATACTAGATCAATTATTTAAATACCATACAAAAGCCCTCGTTATAATGAACAACTCTATGCTGATGGTGCTCGAAAACAGCTAAAGTTGGAAACGAAAAAGATCAAATAAATATATTTGTATTAAAAAATTGTGATCACAGTTCCAGACAGCGCTTTTGTTGTATGAAGGAATGAGATGGGTTAGTACCTTCCCAATTTTCGGATGTATCTGCGAACGTTTCCTGGTTAGTTGTCTGCCAAATATTTTAGGCAACCTTTGGCTTCTGGCGCATTCAGCAAACACTCTGTGGCTTCTATTACATATGAGAATTTGACAGTCTGTTTGTGATTCCTACTGAGTCTGCCAAATAGTCTTTAGTTTTAGTATGCCTAGCAAGCATTCATGTCTAGCAAATTGAACAGAGAGTCTTTGACTTCTGTCGGATCTTACAATCTGTCTGTGGTTTCTGCTGAATCCGTTATGCAGTCTATGGTTCTACCAGATCCAGCAGATAATATAGACCTGGCTAATCTTGCGGACAGCCTAGATCGCCATATTTCACAATCGGTCTGTGATTTCTGCTGCATTCATCAGAGAGTCTTTGGTTCTACCAGATTCTGCAAACAGTGCAAATTTGGCAGATAGTCTGTGACTTCTGCTGGATGTAGTAAGCAGCCTACGTCTCGAAAATCTCGCAAATAGTCTGTAGCTTCGACAAACCTCACAGACACATTAGGGCTTGCATCAAACAAGATGCCAAGCTTTAGTAAACTTTGTCTTCTGTAGCGGCAAGCTGAGTTGTCTTTCTGTGAAACTAAATCGCAAACGACTGCGGTTTTTAAAATTAGGCTTAAAAAGCGTTTCATTAGTGACTAACTGTCACAAGTGTCGCCAACTTCGACAGGAAAATTACTGAGAAGCGTCTTTGCTTTGAATGTGAAAAGACTTTTCGAAAATTGTCAAGGAAAGTATAACTTTCGGCAGTCTACGAAAAATTTTCGCTCTCTGAGATATTGCCTTTAATTTGATACTCATTAGTGGAAATTACTGAAGTTCACGCTTGGCACAAAAAAAAGTTTTCCATTAAAAAGGGATTCGTGCAATCTTCACATCGAAAAAATTGTTATACTGCCTTTACTTAAAATAATTTCTTACTTCTTCCCGCTCCCCTTGACCATTTAAATTTTTAATTGTGTCTGTAAAAAATTTTCGATACTGTCTGGGAAAAAGAATTTAGTCCTCCCACTTCTGAAAATTATCGAGAGCCTTGGTTGTAGGAGAATTTTCCGGCGTTTCTTTTCTAAAGATTTTTATGATTTTCAAAAAATATTTCCACTCAAACTCTTATATTTCTTTGCACTGGACACTCCGCTCTTTCTAAGGAAAAGAAAAGAAGCTTACTACGACATTCTACCACAAGGCTAAATCACAAGCAAAATTAATGCAGAATTTTTGCATTGCCTATAATATATTTATCTATAGATTTCCGTGTGAAAATAATCGAATTAGATCACCAATTGGTATTTGGCCGGATGACATTTATGAACCTGTATTACCATCATGTCAGTAACTTTATTTAAATGAAAAATGAAATATTTAACACTAATTTTGTTTTACTTTTGTTTAATTAGATGCTATACCACCATTAGTGAATTTGGTCCAGAGTCAGTCACGTGGCTATGCACCTTGCCAATTGATAAATTTATATAAACCAAATTTATGCTTAGATGCTGAATTCCTAGTGGACTATGGCTGTTCCCTTGATCTTATATTACCTTCAAGAGAAATTGAAAAGTTACAATTATAAAAAGTAACTGGTGGTATTGCTGCTCGAGGTTTTAATAATCGTATAACAACATTACCAAAATATGAAGATGTTAAAATTATCGTTAACCTTAAACATTCAACAACAGGACATGTTACAACAAAAAGTGCAATTATATCCATTTTGGAACGTTTACCTTTATTCACATGGGATATTGGGATACAATGCTCAAATGATCTTTCTTCAGATGAAACACAAACAACAACAAGTTCATATTTATTATCACCACAACGCAATTCAGAAATGATAACATCTACAATGTCAGTCGATGATAATCCAGAATCTAATGTAGCGATTCTGACATTAAGTCCATTAAAATATCCAATTAAAGATGGGGATCAATACGGCATTTTAGGTTTTCCAGCAATGACTAAATTAAATATAGGAATTCATTTTGGTGGTAATTATATTTTTGGTGTTGAAAGACTTTTTGAACATGTGTAATCACTGTTTGTATTCCAAATAATATTGCACAGTGTCTCATTCATAATCTAGTCGTAGTATAGAATGTGTGATTCTCATATACATATCATCAATTACAATATTTAATGGTGTGGGTGTAGGTGTGGATACGTGGCAGTGCGTGTAGGTGCGCGGTGTGGATGTGGGCGTGAGTGTTGAAGACAAGCACCCACCCCACATCATCACACTCACACCAAATTATTATTTCTAATCAAAAGTAGTATAACGTTTCCGAACACAGAAACAAGCTACTAATCTTTTCTAACTTAAAATAGTCTAAGCAGATAGTAAAGAGAAAGTAAAAAGTTCGACTTCAATATTCACCTCGGTCTGGAACTCCTCTCATAAATTTTCATTCGAGGTAATACTGGTTTATGAATATTTCGTACATACCATAGTATCTGGTGCTATCAATTGTGAGGGTGTGGATGATTATCTCATCGCCACTAACACTCACATCCACACCCTCAAGTCTCATTTTTCCTTCTTTAATAAGTAAATCTTTAGGGACATCATGTTTTAATAATCAAAATACTCATAATTGTTTTTTGACAATTGATTGTCATTACTCATTTGAGATATCATCTTCTTCACCATTATTCTCATCTTCATTATCAACAGGAGTCAATAATATAATGTTTTTTAAATGTGGAAGGTCATCAGTTACAGAGAAATCTTTGATTTCATGAAATAATTTTGAAAGAACAGCTTGTCCTTGTAAAAGAGAATTTTGTAGTTCAGCTGGTGACAAGCGTTCAGAATGATTCATATGTTTAAATTCGGAAGCAAGAACATTTTTTATTGCTTTGGCTCCTGAATTTGGTAAACTTTCAAAATCCTGTCGACCGCTCGTAAAATGATACATTTCACCACGTAATCGTAGTACCATATAAATCGTACTTTCTCTTTGTATATTATACTCTGACAAAGTTTTGTCGTCCTCTAGTTGCATTCCAGCAAATATTAAACGTTGCTGATCAGGGGAAATACCTTCTTTGTCTTGTATCAATGCTTTCACAGAAGCAATATCTGTGTTAGAATCGACTTCTAATGTAAATGTCTTTCCAGTAAGAGTTTTCACCAAAAGTTGAAATTGAGCAATGGATTTTGTAGCATCATTCTATAGAAGAAAAACCTCATATGTAATGAAAAAGAAAAAAAAAGTCATTATTTACATTTTCTTGAACGATTTTTGCTATAATGATACAATTATCTTCATATAACTTAGATGACAAGACGGTATCATTTGCATTGCGTATTTTACCTTCATTCCAATTTTGTTTATTTACTTGAAGATCTTGATTTAATATAAATGATTTAAGTTCTATGTATGGCAATGTTCGAAGTTTCTGCATTTGTATTTGAATCTTTTCTAAAGTGTCTGTTAGGAGAACTGGTACGATCAATTGTTGAAGCGATATATCTTCAAGACATACTATCAAGATTTTTACTTCACCATATGTAATAAATTGATAACCATCTGGATATTCAAATACAGATGATTTCAGTTCCGAATCAGTAAATGCCGAAATACTATTTTGATTCGTTGTTCCAATTTTAATCCACTTATGTAAATATTTTGGTACATAATTCTTTTTGTATTTCGTAAACAATTTACTGATCAACTAATGATCCATAGACTTATTTGTTATTGAATTGCCATATGGATCAACAAATGTTATTGAATGTGGTTTCAATTCTTTTTGTATCTTCTGTTCATTTTTCCATCGATCATCAAGATATTTGGCGATTTCAATCATTTGATATCGAATTGATTGAACATGAAAAATTAAATCTTGATAAACAAATGAAAATGGGTCTTTCGATATAATAGCAGTCGAGGCTGCTGTTGACTTATTTCCATTAGCTACAGAATTACCCATCTGTCGATGATTAAGTATCTAAAACTAAAGAAATATTGATAAACTAAACGCGAATGCAAATGGTAACAACTTTTTTAAAACAATAATTATTGGGATGTGTCGGAAGGGAAATATGAGTCTTCTGTAGTCTAAGACTCTTATAGACATATCTACTTAACTTTAATATGTAAATATTGACATTTGTGACAAATCTCCTCTATATAGTTTTTAGATTCTTATTAATAATCTGGAGAAGGTCTCTGGATGAATTTTAATGAGATTCAATCCGACTTATGCTTATGTAATAGCTCCTACTCATACTTAACTTCTTTGAAAATGAATTTTTATAGTTACAAAGGAGTCACTGCACGAGGGAATCAATCCAGATCGCTGAATTTCTATAATAACTTGAAATTATTAACTGTCATAAACAGCTTAATAAAATTGGTAAAAATCTAAAATATACCAAATCATCTGCTCTTTCATATGCGATAAAAAATTTTTTTCAACACTTCTATTTTTCCAAAAATTTTGAAAGACTTCCTTCACTCGCATTCGAAAAATAAGCTGTTTTTGAAAAAAACAATAACTCATTTTTCGTTTTCCTTCGAAAGTGGGCCAACGACGTAGCGCCAGCAGAACTCTATCATACTAAGAGACAAAGTCAAATATTTTTTTTTATTTGAAAGCTTGTGTCTAAGACTAGCTCCCCCTCGTAGCCTTTTAAAAAAAACTCTTTTTATTTTTATATAAAAAAACACCTCTTTAAAAAGATAGTGCCATTTTTTTAGGCATGTTGTGAGTCATTAAATTTGTCGTCCCTTTTTCGATTAAAAAGTAAGAATCTTAAAAAAAAAGGATCACGAGAGGAGCTAGCTCTAGACACAAGTTTTAAAAGAAAATATATTTGACTTCATCTCTTAAAGCAGTCCAGACAAGCTTTAAGTGTCTAAAAAGTTGTGACAAAACGAACTAAAATCAACAGAAGTAATGCTTAATTCTTTAGTTGTTTATCTTGTTGAATTTTTTTTACAGCGGAAGTACGTACTTACAATGACTCACGCAATAATGTCGTAACTACGCACACAAATATATGAGAAAAAGAAACATGGTACAATCTTTTTTATATCGTTTCACAGCCGTCATTCATGGAGAAAAAAAACATTTTGTTTTGTAATGTAAATGAGGAAAAGTTGCATCATAACTGATTACTTTTATCTTCTCTAAATAGAAAAACAACGATAAAAGATTACAATATCGCGTTTTAAATTTTCATGAATTATTTTTAACTTTTCTTGTAAGCACTTTTCACGTTGAATAGAACAGTGATTTCAAAATTGCAGTTGATATTTTAATTAATGCAGCGCGAAACTCAGCATTTATTTAGTCCTTTGCATATTTTTCGCTGTAAGAAAATCTGTACTTTGTGTTGCGATGTTCTAGAGAATGGTAAGATGCTAGAAACTCGTGCAAACTGTATGTCAAAGAGATAGATGCCGTGAGACAATCCAAACGACTTCGAATGTTCAAGATGAATTATCATTCTTCTTCAATAAGTTCCACAAAACACTGATTTTGAAGATTTGACCTCCATCTTTCACTCGAGATAATTAAATTGGAGACCTTCGACAGGACAGGATCGGCTCGTGATGAAATTGTTCATCATTCTCATGGTTCACATCGCTTTTATTTAGTCTTATGTGAGTTTTCTTCCTCTTCTTTTACTTATTAGACGTTACAATTGGAAGTTATCATTTTTTATTCCGATGATGTCGAGAATGAAGAAACAAAAGATACATAGATAGATGTGCTTGTACTGTTGTATTCACGCCTTAAAGAAAGTAATAGACTTGTATGAAGTCTTATACTGTACGAAACTCTTATAACTATTTCAAATCAAAATTGCATAAATCTCTTGAGCTGTATACCTTTGTTACATTATCAATAGCAAGAATAAAACACAGCCTTTTGTAGACCTTACGAAAGAGTCGATATTTATCTCATTAATAGTGTATTATTCGAAATTTCATTCTCTATCTACATAGGACTATAGTAAGCTTTTTACTCCTGTTATTCATAGTGAAACAAAGGTATATGATTTAGGTGACATAATTTGTTTTGATTTCAAATATAAGAACCTCCTACGGAAAAGATCTTCTACAAGTCGATTATTTTCTTGAATGCGTGAATAAGACCGTATAAGAACGTCTATTTATGTGAGTTGTATAAATAGAAGACGAATAAAACAATTTTTCAACATGAAAATCCTATTTAAATAGAACGTCTGACGCAATGTGTACTGCTCTTGCTAATGATATATCATTGAATAAAATTAAGTACATATTACTATTTGCAAAGTGTGTCATTGAATATTTTTGAAACGATAAAAAGCGAAAACTGTACGATCTTATTTATTATCATACTCAACCAAAACTGATTCCATGCACACTCATTCATTATTTATTTATATCTGAAAAATAAAGAATATTAATACCATATTGTTTACCTTGTTGTTCTCGTCAATTAATAAATAGTGAATCTTCTTTATCTGAACACCTTGTGTCCGAAAGTATTTCTTCATATGAAAGAATGATCTATCGACAATCTACAGGTTCTAATTTCATTACAATGTGATTCTTTACAAACACCAACAAGTCTTAATGCATCATTATCTACTAATCGACTAAATATCTTTGACAAAAAACTGCTTACTCATTTATCTATTCCTCCTTATGATTAAATGACACACGTTGTTGATGAACAAATGAAAAATTTTAAATCATTAGATATGATATCTATACAGTTATTGACGTCAGGAAAGATGATTTATAAGTTAGGAATACAAATTTGATCTATTGATAGGTTTTTCTATCTTCTAGATAAAAAGATTTGTGTACAAATCTAACTTCTTATGCAAGTTCAATGCGACAAAAGTAAATAATTCATCAAGTTTTTTTAAAGCTTAACTAGATTTCAAATCCAGTTTTACTAATACTATATCATTGTTGGTCAAAAGAGTTCGATTTCTTCTCACTAGAGGCGCAGAATTTGCCGCTAAAATGAAAAACGTCCTCAAACTGCAACATTTTAACGGAAAAATTTTCCTCACTATAAAATTTTATTCAAGATTATTTTGGAAAATTGTAAAGTTCTTTTTCTGAAAAAGAAAGATAATGGATATTCCATAATAGATGGCTCAGTTTTGTTTCCTATCTTTGAACCATTTAAAAATTTATTTTGGACTTTGGTTTTTATGTCAATTATTTTGTTCAGAATTCAATTTTGAATCTGATGCTACGACAATCAGCGTTTTATAGGAGGAGTCTAACTTGTGATAAGATAATTTTTCATAATGCAACCAAAAATACTCTCAGGTATTAGTTCACAACCTTTATTCTCTCAAATAAAACACTTGTATACAATGCTTAACTATTATCATCGGTCTTGATGAGCAAAATTTCATACAAATCGTTTTCATCTATATCAGAATGAGAATGCGTAGTTAGAAAATTTAATAGGTTTTAATCTCATGAAATTTACGTCTGTATGAAAAATCTTTCTGAAAAACAAATTAGGTAGTTTTGTAGAGAATTATATTCTCTATTCAACAAGATCAGAACTAAAATTTAAACAAGTCTTAAATAAATACGTTAAAGATCGAAAATAAAAGTGGGACATGCATTAAGAGGTACCTATTATTTTCAAGAACTCTTCCCATATGTTAATAAGTTCGTTCGTGCTTGTGAGTATGGTCTGCATCGTTGAGTTTCAAGTTCAGATGTTGCAGATATCTCATCCTTTCATAGCAAGGAGGATGAGAATGACTTGGGTGTTTTTCAATAGCAATGAAAAACGCCGTTAAATAACATTAGCAATTGTTCTAGATATTTCAATGCACATATGTAATCATATCAGAAATATAAAGTATGATAATTAGTAATGCATTGATTTGTCATAGTTGCCATTTACTTAACACAAAAAATATGAATTTATCCAATTCTAACTTTTAGAACTAATCATTATTAACATTTCGAGTTTTATTAAAGTGTATAAAAGAATATTAACATGAATATTAATAATAATTGCTTCATTGCTATCGATAGGTGTTTCATTGAACTCAACTTAATATTCATGACAACTACCATCTAGTAATGATTAAAACACTACATTAATAGGTTATCTTACATAAAGGCGTCATATATCAAGATCAGTTTGAGTTAAAAGAAATTAATCATAAAAAATCTGTCTATTAAGTTTTCTTCGTATATAGAAAAGCTATGTCAATGTTATGATATATGTCGATTTACAATAGGATTTTACTACGTAATGATGGTGATCATCCATTAAAGAGTATCTAATAGAAATATCTGATAGAGAAAAGCGTAAAAAGAATCAATAAATATAAGTACACTTTTCTTTTCGAGTAACAAAACACAATTAAATGTGTCTACTATCCAAGGGGGAAACAGCGGACTTTTGGATTTGAAGTTACTTTGAGCTACTTTGAGCTACTTTGGGCTACTTTAAGCTACTTAAAGTTACTTTCAGTTACTTGAAGTCGTTTACTTTGAAGTACTTTTTAACTTCAGATTTACTTCAAGTTATTTGAAGATACTTTAAGCCAATTGCGCCTACTTTGGGCTACTTGGGTGGTATTTTGGACCATTTCAAATAGCCTACTTTGACCTACTTTGACGTACTTTTCTACTTCAAGTCCGCTGTTTCTTATTTGCTATTATCATTGTTGTAGTAAAGCAGCAAAATCTCTTCGATATAGTGAAAAGCAAGTAGTTGAACTAGAAAAAAACAAAGCAATTGTAGAAATACGAGTTATAAATCGATATAAAGGAAGAAAAGAATCTGATTTAGTCTGAGAATATTCGCTCAGATTTCATTCGACAATTACTTTAATTTTCATAAAAAACATTTTAATGATTTATAATCAAATGCTGTTTTTTATGCAAGAATTTATATGGTCAAGAAAACTGTCCTAGAGTATGGTTGTGTATTTTGTGATAGCC